CTATGAGGGACAGTGCTATCCGGCCCAGATACTACGCTTTTCCCATGGTCTTTGCAACCCACAGACCAGGAGATTCCCTCAGGTGCCTACACCACCAGGACCCTGGGTTTCAAGCACAAAACTGGGTGGCCGTTTGGGCAGACACCAAGCTAGCTGCAGGAGTTTGTTTTTTTTGTTTGTTTGTTTGTTTTTTTTCATACCCCAGTGGTGCCTGGAACACCAATGAGACAGAACCATTCACTCCCCTGGAAAACCAGGGAGCCGAGTGGTCTTGCTCAGTGGATCCAAACCCCACAGAGCCCAGCAAGCTAAGATCCACAGGCTTGAAGTTCTCCCTGCCAGCACAGCAGTCTGAAGTCGATGTGGGAAGCTTGACCTTGGTGGAGGGAGGGGCATCTGCCATTACTGAGGCTTAAGTGGGTGGTTTTCCCCTCATGGTGTAAACAAAGCCACCAGGAAGTTTGAACTGGGCAGAGCCCACCACAGCTCCACAAAGCCACTGTAGCCAGACCACCTCTCTAGATTCCTCCTCTCTGGGCAGGGCATCTCTGAAAGAAAGGCAGCAGCCCCAGTCAGGGTCTTGTAGATAAAACTCTCATCTCTCTGGGACAGAGCACCTGGGGGAAGGGGCTGCTGTGCACACAGCTTCAGCAGACTTAAACCTTCCTGCCTGCCAGCTCTGAAGAGAACAGTGGATCTCCCAGCACAGTGCTGGAGCTCTGCTAAGGGACAGACTGCCGTCTCAATGGGGTCCCTGACCCCCATGCCTCCTGACAGGGAGACACTTCCTAGCAGGGGTCGACAGACACCTCATACAGGAGAGCTCCAGCTGGCATCTGGTAGGTGCCCCTCTGGGGATGAAGCTTCCAGAGGAAGGAGCAGGCAGCAATCTTAACTGTTCTGTAGTCTCCACTGGTGATACCCAGGCAAACAGGGTCTGGAGTGGACCTCCAGCAAACTCCAGCAGACCTGCAGAAGAGAGGCCTGACTGTTAGAAGGAAAACTAACAAACAGAAAGCAATAGTATCAACATCAACAAAAAGGATGACCATGCAAAAAAATCCATCCGAAGGTCACCAGTAGCAAAGACCAAAGGTAGATAAATCCACGAAGATGAGGAAAAACCAGCTCAAAAAGCCTGAAAATTCCAAAAACCATAATGCCCCTTCTCCAAAGGATCACAACTCCTCACCAGCAAGGGAACAAAACTGGAGAGAGAATGAATTTGACAAATTGACAGAAGTAGGCTTCAGAAGGTGGGTAATAACAAACTCCTCTGAGCTAAAGGAGCATGTTCTCACTCAATGCAAGGAAGTTAAGAATCTTGATAAAAGGTTAGAGGAATTGCTAACTAGAATAACCAGTTTAGAGAAGAACCTAAATGACCTAATGGAGCTGAAAAATGTAGCACGAGAACTTCATGAAGCATACACAAGTATCAATCACTGAATAGATCAAGCAAATGAAAGGATATCAGAGATTGAAGATCAACTTAATGAAATAAAGCGTGAAGACAAAATTAGAAAAAAAAAAGAATGAAAAGGAACAAATAAAGCCTCCAAGAAATATGGTACTATGTGAAAAGACCAAACCTATGTTTGATTGGTGTAGCTGGAAGTGATGAGGAGAATGGAACCAAGTTGGAAAACACACTTCAGGATATTATCCAGGAGAACTTTTCCAACCTAGCAAGACAGGCCAACATTCAAATTCAGGAAATACAGAGAACACCACAAAAAATACTCCTTGAGAAGAGCAACCCCAAGACACATAACTGTCAGATTCACGAAGGTTGAAATGAAGGAAAAAATTAAGGTCAGCTAGAAAGGTTGGGTTGCCCATAAAGGGAAGCCCATCAGACTAACAGCAGATCTCTTTGCAGAAACCTCACAAGCCAGAAGAGAATGGGGGCCAATATTCCACATTCTTAAAGAAAAGAATTTTCAACCCAGAATTTCAAATCCAGCCAAACTAAGCTTCATAAGTGAAGCAGAAATAAAATCCTTTACAGACAAGCAAATGCTGAGGGATTTTGTCACCACCAGGCCTGCCTTACAAGAGCTTCTGAAGAAAGCAATAAATATGGAAAAGAAAAAAACAGTACCAGACCATTGACACTATGAAGAAACTGCATCAACTAATGGACAAAATAACCAGTTAGCATCATAATGGCAGGATCAAATTCACAAATAACAGCATTAACCTTAAATTTAGATGGGCTAAATGCTCTGATTAAAAGGCACAGACTGGCAAATTGGATAAAGAGCCAAGACCCACTGGTGTGCTGTATTCAGGAGACCCATCTCAC